TATTTCTCCCCTACTCTGCAAGTTAAATATAGAATCACGATTGATCACACATTTACCTCATGTTCACCAAAGGGAAATAGCTTTCCTGTGTAATAATGACTGACCCAAAGAATTGTCTTTTCTTCCTAGCTCCCGTGGCAAGAACTCCTATGCCTTTAAAAGCCAAAAGGCAGCTCGAAATTCAGTAGGTGAGGTTTTTCCAAGAAGGGGAAGATTAAGTGAATTGGGTGGGGGTGGGGAACCCTCTTTCTGCCTTTCCTGCAGGGCACAAAATTTATTTATTTACCTAATTTATATTTTGCCCTTAATCCGAAGATCTCAGGGCGGTTCACAAGATAAAAAAAGGATAAAAAGCACAAAATAAATAGTTCAAAGAAAAACAAAATAATAACCTCCCTCTCCCACAAACACATTTAAAAGATTGTAGAATATGAATCAACCAAAATTCCTAGCATAAAATGGTAATGTGCTTATCATTCCTGACAGACTGTACTATTATTTTTCCCTCATGGACAGTATAGTTTGATTCTATGTTTGTTGAAACTTGCATATTCGATTCATCCTCTAGCTCAGATTGGAGACCTCACTGGTTTATTAACAGGGTTCTGTACTAATGGTGGGTCACAGGGGTGCCAACCTGAACAAAACATTTTGGGGGGGTGTCCCAGGCAAGCCCCACCTCACATAATCGATCACAAGACACGGTGTACACACAGCATTGGAATGACAATGCATAGCTCTCAACGTTTCCCTTTTTTTTAAAGGGAAATTCCCTTATTCCGAATAGGATTCCTCACAAGAAAAAGGAAAAGTTGACAGCTATGTGACAATGCCTATCATGGGAGGGGGGGCTTGCCCCCTCAAATATTTGGGGGGGGGTCAAAGGGACTTTGGCCCCTAGGAGTTGGCTCCTATGGTGGGTCAAAAGTTCAGCAGATGGCTGGTATTTTTTTTTACCTGGGGAGCATGGAGCTATTTAGTGGGCAAAAGGGGCCACTCATCCCCCTTATGTCTTTTTTGGTGGCTGTTACAAGAGTTTCAAAATGGCAGCAGCAGTCCTGCTGGTACTTATCTTGATGACCGCCAGCTGGTAGCTGTGGAACCACTGGTCTCATCATTCAGCAAAGTGACATGGCGTGTGAGGGTTGAGGTTAGTAGTGGCAGTCTCCTGCCGTTTCCTCGTGAGCTCCCTCGCCATTCGCTATGTTGAAGAAGAGAACTGTGAGTGCTATGCGGCCTGCTCAGTAACCCTAAGCTAGCCTTCTGTGGTAGAAAATGGCAGCGCTGAAGTAAGAGTCCACTTCCAGTTCAGTCAGCTTCTTCAGAGATTGCTGCAGGAAGCAAAATCGCTTTGGCCTAGAACGCCGTGTTTTGCCTAGAATGGCAGAGGTGTCCTACAATGAAGTTGGAAATGGGGAGACTTAACCTTGAGAGATGTAAACAAGCATTGTTTAGGATGCCAATGGTGCCAGCCAGAAGGGGGTTTTTGTCTTGCCAGAGCTGATAACCAACCAGAGCAGGGCTTACTGTGTTCCCCAAGATGTTGCTGGACATGATTCCTATGATGTCCATTGGCCATGCTGACTGAGACTGTGTTCCCCAAGATGTTGCTGGACATGATTCCTATGATGTCCATTGGCCATGCTGACTGAGACTGATAGGAGGTGGAATCCAGGTTACCAGTTTGTTTTGTTTCTCCCGCCCTCCAGTTTGCAATGGAACTCCCATGGTGGCTCACAAAAATATAACACCACCATTAAAATACAGTAATTTTAAATAATTGGCTAAATTATTTAATTCACTTGAAGGAACTATTACTCATTTACACCAATACTGTGACCCTTGACTCTGGACTGTGTGTTTCGCAGCTGAGGAAACACGAGTGTGACTCACTGCCAAACCGAATGCACCTGTACAACATAAATGACTTATGTAATCAACAATGTGACTCACGAGATCTGCAATTTGTTTATGACTTGAGTCAGAAGGCACTCATTGTGATGCCTTAATTTAAAAAGTCAAAAGGTGGTTCTGTGCAGGAATCATCTTTAGAAGATTGCCAGGGAAGAAGGAGAGAGAGAGAGAGAACACAACAAGTTTTTGGACTAGCTGTACTTGTAAGGCGCACCTTTAACAGCCAACCTGCCAACATATTTTCTTCGACTGAGTAGGTAGGTACCAATTCCATATTTGGGATGCAAGCATTTTACTAATTGGTGTAATGTAGTGGCTGTAAAAGTGTGAGTTATGAGATGGTGATCCTGTGGTTCAAATTTCCATACTGTCATGGACTCACCTGGGAGCCTTATACAAGCCAAAGCAACAAAGAGTATTGTAGCACCTAAAAACCTCCCAACAAACGTACGTAAGCTGTTGTGGGCTTTTAAGTCAGCCATAACCTCCTAGACACCCAGTCCCTTGTAACGCAGGGACAATAATGTTGCTGTACCACAAAGGGTTATTGCAAGGACAGGGATACTGCATAGCAAGTACTTTGGGAACTTAGGGCAACCCGGTACGTAATTATTATTGTTATTAATTATTCTAACTTCTCCTTACTGATATGGATAGCCTCACTTAACAGGATAGAAGATGAAGCATACTGTATGTTCATGTCGGTCTGTCTGACTATCCACCCATCCTTCTCGCTGGGTTGTGAACAATTAAATCATGCTCTATGAAACTATGAATGAAATCAATGGGTATGACTGACTCCCGTCGATTGTTTCAATGGGTCTACTCTATTATTTACTTATTATTATTATTGTTGCTTATTATTTCCTTTAATACTTATACATGCTGTAGAAGGAAGGAAGGAAGGAAGGAAGGAAGGAAGGAAGGAAGGAAGGAAGGAAGGAAGGAAGGAAGGAGGGAGATTCTTCTAAATTATTGCCTGGCAACCCTACAAGGTTCCATAGGGACCTTGAGTTGCCACCTTTCCCATGACATACACACATGCCCTCACACTCCTTCACTCATGCAATGGGAAACATGTGAAATTTGCCACCCCACTTTTCTGGTTTCGTCTGCTCTTTCAGCCAGCTCTCGGGCCTTGCAGTGCTGCTTTTAAACACCAGGTTTGTCTACTGCAGGTCTTTATTTATTTTTATTTTTTAATGTTGCAATACATATATGAAATCTTTACATAATAACACGTATACATTATATTCGTAAATTCACATTTCCACATTTCATTATGTACCAACATTTATCCATTTCTTATTTCTTGCCCTGTGTCTTCCCTCCACCCGTGCATGACTTCCTTGTTATTGTTTTGTAACTTTGTTATTGAGATTGTATTTTTGTATCTTAATAATTAAACATTCAATCTTATATATCTGCTTAGCTTAGCTTAGCTTAACTCAACTTTCTGAAATCAGTCTATACACATCAATAAATTCTTGTTGGAGCATCTTTTGCTCATGTATTCTTCTACACATTTCCATTCCTGTTTGAGATTTTGATTAGATTGCATTCTAATTGTTGCCGTCATTTTTGCTAATTCAATCATTTCAAAAAATTTATGTTGCCAATCTTTCAGTGTTGGTACTTCTTCTGATTTCCCATTTTTTGCAATCAATAACCTTGATGCAACCTGTTGCATATAAAAAGATTCTCTTCATGTCTTTGAGGATGTCATTTGTTATAATTCCTAAAAGGAATGTTTCCAGCTTTTTACCAATTGTTGTTTTAAAGATTTTTTTTCAGTTCCTCATGTATATTTCCCCCCCAAATTTTAATTTTATCACATCCCCACCAGACATGATATAAGGATCACCCTGATACCTTACATCTCCAACACAGATTCACTGTTAATTTATAAAATTTAGCCAGTTTTACAGGGGCTAGGTACCACCTGTAAAACATCTTCATAATGTTTTCTTTGATAGTAATGCATGCAGTGAAATTAATATCTGATTTCCAAAGTTTTTCCCAATGATCTAATGAAATCACATATCCTACAGGTCTTTAATGCCTATCTGATAGGCAAAGCCCCATTTGCTAAATTTCTAAATAATCATTGCATCACCCCCTGAATTTCTACCTCTTAAAAGAGGATGGGATGGGGAGAGACCCAACAACTCCTGATTCAACAAAAAGCCTTTGTCAAGAGGTTAGGAGAAAAAGATCCCAAGGGATGAACATGGTAGGGCTCTGCTAAATTGTTGGGTTCATTTTCTCCAGGCTCCTGGGAGGGAGTGAGGATTAGGAAGGGACTCGGTTCAGTTCAGATTTAAAAGCGAACCTACCTACTTCACATTTTCAAAAACAATATGCAAGCCGAAACACAGCTGTCTTTTGAAATGTGCTCTGATCCACATTTTGTGATGCAGTTCTCCTGCCAAATGATGTATACAAAAATTATTGTAGTACAGGGAAAGGGAGGGAACAGGGGTTGGACCATGAGCATCCATGAAGGGGATGAGTAGTCCCTTCCCACTAGTAAACCATAATTCCCAGAATTCTTTGTTAAACCAGAGTATGTTTCTAGCCTTTGTAGACCCTGAGATATGGGACAAAACGTACAATTGCTGTTTGTCTTTCTTTTGTGCATGAAGCTACCCTGCTCTCCCCCCTTTCAAGTGCTTTACTCCCCACTGGAATGGTGCCTGTGGACACCCATAAATGGAAGAATTTGGAGAGGAACCAAGGAAGAGGGGAGAGAAAAAAGAATATAAAGGAAAGGAAGAAGGAAGCAATTTAGAATGAAAGATAAAGCTAGGAAGAAAGTAGATGTGGGTTGCATTGCTGTGTGTGTGTGTGTGTGTGTGTCCGTGCATGCGCGCGCACCCACACCCACACACCCAAGGATGAGTATGAGAGAGAGGTGTGTTTGTTTCTAGGAATGTTGGCTCATTTCCTTGAGTGATCTGCTTTGCAAGGGCATGTGATCTTCACTCCATGGATTCATAGGATTTGTGACATCACTAGAGCTTGCCTTGTGACATCACCAGGCCCTGCCATGTGAGCCCCAGGCTTTTGGATGCTGGAGACCAGGGAACCTCAAGGGCACTAGATCTGCTACACTCACTCTGCCCTGCCAGGGAAGGAATATGGGAGTTGTGTCAGCAACCGCTGGGTGGATCCAACAGTCAGCTCCTTACAATCACAAGGGTGACTATTCTTGTTGTCATCTCCTTCATGATCAGTGTAGCTCACCTCTAAGTGTACATAGCTCAACGACAACCTTCTTCCTCAGATCAGGACATCAAACAAGAAAAATTAGCATGGCATAATCTCAGAGAGGGTTGAAAACTGAAGTCCACATCTTTTTAGGTCACGATACCATTAGAGGGGAAGAAACGAGTGTACATCTCGACCCTGATTTTAAACAACATTTGGATTTCTGAGACTATTTCACCCTTTCTGTGTGCTAAGTTGTAATTTCTTTTTTATTCAGTCAGCAAGCTACAGAGCGGTCAAAGAAAACCCCTAACTACAGAAAAGCGTGTGTGAGACCAGGAAAAGAGCAATTGAGACACTCTTTCCAATCCAAAATTGTATGGCACGTAGAGAGCTCTTAAAATACAATATGAGAGGCTTTCATGTTTTATTTTATTTTATTTTATTTTATTTTTTGAAAAAGTATTAGTTTCATGTAATCCAGAATTTGTAAAAGAAAATTCTCAGAAAGGAGGCATTGGAATGTGGCAGTAGACTAACCGAACCACTTATCTCAGACCTGATTTATTGTAAATTAAAGCAAAACCGAAGCATCTAAATAAGCCAAGGAAGAGCTCTGCTCATTTATCTGTTCTCCAAAAAAGTTTCCTGTGCAAATGCAGGTCAGTGCCTTGACTGCCAGATTCAACATGCACTGTTAAGATATGGGAATATGATCTGAGGCACTATTCCTGGCAGGTGTGGGTGTTGAATGGGCATTCCAGGATAAACTTGGAGATGAAAAGGGAAACTCCTAAATTTACATGGATTCTTAAAAGGAAATGCTGGTAGGTGAAGCCAGAGCCAATGAAAAGAAGAGCTAGCCCGATTGGTTGTAAGATCATAGAATCTTAGAGTTGGAAGGGACCCCAAGGGTCATCTAGTCCAACCCGCTGCAGTGCAGGAATCTCAGCTAAAGCATCCGTGACAGATGGCCATCCAACCTCTGCTTAAAAGCCTCCAAGGAAGGAGAGTCCAGCACCTCTTGTCTGTTCCACTGTCAAACAGCTCTTACTGTCAGAATGTTCTTCCTGATGTTGAGTCAGAATCTCCTTTCTTGTAACTTTAATCCATTGGTTCGAGTCCTGCCCTGCAGAGCAGGAGAAAACAAGCATACTCCCTCTTCCATGTCACAGCCCTTAAGATATTTGAATGTAGCTATCATATCTCCTCTCAGTCTCCTCTTTTCCAGGCTAAACATACCCAGCTCCTTCAAGCGTTCTTCAAGGCAGGTGTTTGATGAGGTGGTTCTCCATTAGCCCTAATTGGTCTCCACTGGCTCTTGCAGACTGTTAAGTACCGTATTTTTTGCTCTATAAGACCCACTTTTTCCCTCCTAAAAAGTAAGGGGAAATGTGTGTGCGTCTTATGGAGCGAATGCAGGCTGCGCAGCTATCCCAGAAGCCAGAACAGCAAGAGGGATTGCTGCTTTCACTGCGCAGCGATCCCTCTTGCTGTTCTGGCTTCTGAGATTCAGAATATTTTTTTCCTTGTTTTCCTCCTCCAAAAAATAAGTGCGTCTTGTGGTCTGGTGCGTCTTATAGAGCGGAAAATACGGGTACTTTGTGTATAGCAAAAAAAAAAAAAAAAGGTTTGTGTGATTAGAGTGGATTAAAACGCTTTGTTGCCCTTGTGCAAAAAAACCCACTTTTTGCAGTTAGGAAAGTGATGAAGAAATGCCTTGAACAGTGTGGAATGCATGAATGATTGATTGGTGAGAAGGTGAATATACGGCCTGTAAGCAAATCAGAGTGAATGTAAAAAGGGATTGGACAGATCTGTGGAGAATAAGGATATGAATGGCTACTGGTCCAGTCTCAGAGGCAGTACAGCTCTGAACACTGGCTCCTTGGGATTGTGAGCTGGAAAAGGTCTCTTGCGCTCAGGTCTTGGTATCTGGTTGGCTGCTGTGAGAACAGAATGCTGGACTAGATGGGTCTCTGTTTTTATCCAGCAGCCAGGCTCCTCTTATGTGTGTTTGAAAAGAGAACAGAGAGTTTTAAAGGGTTTCCCCTTCCCTGAAGAAGTGAGAGGAGACTGAGAAGCATTTATCCTTCTTCCATTTAAAAAAAAGAGGAAGTAATGAAGCTGAGAAACCTTACTTGTCTGAGAAAAGCTGCCTGGATGATCTAAAATAAATTTTAGATAAAAAAAATAAATGGGGGATTTTGAAACAAACGGAAGTTGAGGAATGTCTTCTTGGGGAGGATATAAGCTTCTAAGAACAGAGCCTATTCAATTGCGGCTCTGAAGTTGTAGCAGGCACACCCCTCAAGAGAGGTCTGCCTGTGTTCCTCCTGGGTCTCCTTTCGAAGGCAAGTGAAAACATTCTTATTTCACCAGGCGTTTGGGATGTATCTGGAGGTGTGCTTTAACTGTTGCTCTGTTATCAACAACTTTCGTAACTGTGTATCTGCATGCAAACTGTTCTGGGGGTGGAAATTGTAAGGAATGTTCAATATTTGCAGAGAATGACACAATTGGTGGGTTAATTTCCTTGCAGGGTAGAACAAATTTATACGTTTGTTTGTTTGTTTGTTTGTTTGTTTGTTTGTTTGTTTGTTTGTCGTTTTAAAATTCTTGTTTATTTATTTTAAATAGCGCTATAACACCCTTTGCCAAATTTGGATTCAGGATAGTTTGCACTGACTTCCAGATGTCGTTGGATTCCCAACTCCTGTCATAGCAGACCATTGTTCATGCTGGCTGGAGCTGAAGGGTCATAGATTCCCTGCCATTGTTTTACAGCATTAACAGTGCAACCCTATACATGCCTACTCGGAAGCAGCTTCCATTGAGTTCAGTGGGTTTTCTTCCAGAATCGCAGTCAAAAATGTCAGAAAGCTATAAACTATACAATTAAAAAAAACTCCCAACTACAGTGGTACCTCGGGTTAAGAACTTAATTTGTTCCGGAGGTCCGTTCTTAACCTGAAACTGTTCTTAACCTGAAGCACCACTTTAGCTAATGGGGCCTCCTGCTGCAGCCGCGCTGCCAGAGCACAATTTTTGTTCTCATCCTGAAGCAAAATTCTTAACCTGAGGTACTGTTTCTGGGTTAGCGGCGTCTGTAACCTGAAGCATCTGTAACCCGAGATACCACTGTACTTGTTATGTTATGAGAGGCTCATAACATACTAGTCCGTAGCAAGTGTTGCAAACTTATTTCAGATCTGTGCGAGCTTACTAAAGAGCAGCTATATTGTTCTGTAATTATTTCACCAATAGGTTGACTGCATCTTTGCGAGTGAAATTCCGGAGGAAGTGAGGACAGACAGCCGCATCTACCTATTCCGTTCTGCAACATCGTGTGTGCAATGTCCTGCTTTTAAAATGAGTCCTGCCACACAGAGGGAACTAATCTGAGAAGATAAGCAAACAGCATATTGATCCTGCCAGGTCATATAGGAGGAGAAACACCCTTTCCCTAAGGAGCCACAGCCAGCATGACAGAGGTAAATGTATAGATGGACTCTGTTTTGTTTTGCAACTCTTTAGTTTTCAGCCAGCCTCCGAAACAGGTGATTGCTTTATGCTGCTGTAAGTCTATGCTGTAAGTCATCCTGAAGCAAAGTTCTTAACCTGAGGTACTATTTCTGGGTTAGCGGAGTCTGTAACCTGAAGCGTATGTAACCTGAAGTGTCTGTAACCCGAGGTACCACTGTATTGACCTACCTTACAGAGTGGTTGTTAGGATTGGCAAGATTATGTGAAGTGCTATATTTTCAGCCCAACCCCATTGTATGCTATATTTCAGATTCTGTTGCATTCAAGGGACTTTACTCCCCATATACAGCCTGAGAGGCCACAAGTCTGTGGTGCTTCCTAACTACTTAAAACTTCCACACTCTGATGAATGCAAAGTGACCATTTTATTTACTGGCCCCCAGGGAAGCTTTCCTTATTTTAACAGAAGTTAAAGGCTGGTGATGGAAAGTGAGAGTGGCTCTCCGTGTTGCCCCCGCTTTTTATTTCCTTTAGATTTTCACGGTCAGGAAATGATGCTAATGGCAGGGAAATGCCTGTTGTAACGTGTCTTTCTGTCTCTTTCAAGGAGGAAATGGAAGATAGCGGTCTCGAAATCGGACTTTTTTACTACGTGTTGATGTGGTTTGTCATCTGCTTCGTCTGGTGGAAATGGAGAGCAGGGCAGAAGTTAAAAGATATGTACCTTGTAGGGAAATATGTGTTCATCACCGGCTGTGACTCTGGATTTGGAAAGCGGGCAGCCAAAACCTTCGATAAGAAAGGGTTTCAAGTGATTGCTGCCTGCCAGACTCAACAGGGAGCCGCAGAGCTGAAAGCAGAGACTTCCAGGCACCTCCACGCTGTGCTACTGGACGTGACAAACACAGAGAACATCAAATCAGTTACGGAATATGTTAAGAAAGAAGTAGGGGATAAAGGTAGGTGATGGGCACCTGAACTCTTCCCAAAATCTACTAAATAGACCCCCAGAGGGCTCCTGCACATTTAAGAGAAGCATGGAATTGGGGCTGCTGTAAAGGAGGAAGGCTTAGCGCACAGAATTTCTGCTTCTGTGCAACCTTAAAGATATAGCCTCCAGGTATCTGCTAACCTGCACAAAAAGCCAATGAATTGTTTTGGTATTTCTTAGGTTTTTCCTTTTCCTTCTTAAAGCAAGTTTTTAATTAAACTTACGGTTTGGGGCAATAAAGTGATCACCGTGCATTGTGGCTTCTGTCCACTGGGTGAGGGCTCATCCACACTTCTGCTTGCCCCATGCCTCGAAAGCATGGGTCCAAGTGGTTTTCCTGCTTTTTCCCAGGGAAAATCCCCTGATTAGTGCTAAATCGAAGCAAACATCAATCTGGAGGAATGCCCAAATTGCCATTTGCTCCGATTGAGCACTAAAGAGCAGCTTTTCCTGGGGGAAAGCGGTGGGGCAAGAGGAAGTGTGGATACCTCCTGTGTCTCTTAGGTCCAGACTTGAAATTATTTGTAAATATATAATTGTTGGTAAGTCTTTCATCCGCTGTTTTGTGCAGAGTGAGCTCTCCCCCCCCTTCCTGTTTCCACAGCCTTCATGTTTTAAAAGCATAGAAAGGAAATTTGAAGTAGGTTGTGCAATGATGTGGCAGAGTGTGGGTGAGGCTGTAAAATTCTAAAACTTATTAAGAGGCTTGTTGAACAAAATGGGGCTTACTTCTGAGTAGGTATGGGGGTAATAGCATGTGAGCAGTAGAGAAAGTGGTGGTGATTACAGGGAAATTGCAGGCATTTTAAAATTACGGCTTTTTACTGTTGTAAGCTTAGTGTTGTAACTCAATGTTGTAATTTAGTTTAGCCACTGCCACACAAACCTTGACTCTTATTAGGAGCAGTATTGGCTATGGCAGGGTAGAAATAAAAACGGTGGTCTTATTTTTAATAAGGGTATCCTCAGGAATTCTTCCAGGGTTGGGGGACGGTAGAATACCAAAATGATAGGAATGTATGAAATGACATGGAGAAAGGGGATAAATAAGTCTTTTCCCCCTCCAATCTCATAATGCTAGCACTCTAGAATAATCGCTCCCATAAGAGGCAGTGACGGCCACCATCTTGGATGGCTTTAAAACAGGATTGGACAGATCCTTGGAGGACCAGGCTGTCAATGGCTACTAAGAACAATAACTATATTCTCCCTCCACTGTCGAAAGCACTGCAGTCTGCTTCTGAATACCAATTGAAGGAAACCACAGGGGCAGAGAGTGTTGTTTTGTGTCAGGCCTGACCATGGGTTTCCCATGGGCACCTGGGTTGCCACTGTGAGAACAGGATTCTGGCCTGATCCAGTAGGTTCTTGTTATGGTCCTGGTGAGCAGGCTAGTTTCTCATAAACCAACCAACAAAAAAACCGAGAAGAATACCTGCCTGATTTTGAAACACTTTAAAGTTGCTCTTTTTAAGGTCAAGCCGCTGTTCGTGATTTGGATTTGATGTTAACTACGTCCTGCGTTGGGGAGGCACTTTACTATTTTATATGATAAGCTCCCTCATATGACAGGATGCAGACCGAAGTATTGCTTTAGTGAGTGAGCAATTACGTGTATCTGTGGAGATAATTGTCCTGTTCAGAGCTTTCACATTGCCCTCATAATATTACAATACTTTTCAGCAATGGCAATGCACACATTCATCAGTGAGTTTCTGCATGATGAAATGTCAAGTGGTGTGCATGCGTGTGTGAATTAGCCCTCGCTCACTCAGACTAAAGTGTTCAGAGTAAAGAAATGGCATGATTGTGAATTGCTACCAATTAACATAGCTGGGTTACTGCTACGACCTTTCTGTTTTTACGTAGATGTAATGATGTTTATAAACCATTATGATGATGATCTTATTCTCTGCCTTTTGAATAATGATGATAATGGGGATGTTAAATCACAGAAATCAATTTCTCCAAAAAAGTTTCATTCTCAGACATAATAAATTATCTTTTTATTTGTTTTTTTAAATCTCTTCCCCCCCCCATAGGTCTGTGGGGCCTGATCAATAATGCAGGAATTATGGGAGTATCAGCACCAACTGACTGGCTGACCATCGAGCACTATAAAGCACCGATTGATGTTAATCTAATAGGCCTCATCAATGTTACTATACACATGCTGCCATTGGTGAAGATGGCAAAGGGAAGGATAATAAACGTAACCAGTGTTGGAGGTGTTCTACCAATATGCTCAGGTGGTTATTGTCCATCCAAATATGGGGCAGAAGCATTCACCGACAGTTTAAGGTAAAGTGATAGCTAATGGATGGCCTTCATAATGCATGTATGATTCAACCCAAACTGAGCATGGGTTCAGTGCCTGCATGCAGGGGATAAAACTGGGCTTAGTAGAATTCTGTTTCCAGCATGCCACTGCCCTCACCACCACTGACATCCATCCAAATCTATCTCTCATGCTACCTGAATCAGGGGGTCATCCAGCGAAATGGTACACCCATGAGACAGTGCTCCTTATATGTATCAGTTCAAAAACTAATGTAGTTCTTGGTCATCTGTTTTTTTTACTCCACTTTCTCCACTTTTCCTACATTGCAAGATAGTACACAAGATATTAGTATATAAGACTTATTTGGATGTAACTCATGGGCTCCTCCTGCCCATGTTCTGTCTGGTGTCTGTTCACAAATGATATCTTACTTGAAACATAAGTGCACATCATGAAAAGGATTTGAAGGTCTGTGCTGAACATCTGAACCCAATGTCTTCTTGACTTGCATTGGGCGCATTAATTGTGAAGCAAGAACCAGTTACCAAGTTATTGCAGAGAATGGCCCAGATCCCTGGGATCTGGTGGAGCCATTAATATAAAATGAATGAAGAGATACAATCTGGTTTAAATGTCAAGGAGATAGGCAGGAGTTCATATGAGGATATGCATGATGGGTCTCTTGCATTCGTGAGGTTTACCACAAGGACTCCAAAGGCATCCCATGACCTTGACTCATTTTATACAGAAACTGAGAAATTTCATTTATAAGATCATTGTGTTTGTGTGCAGAAACTATAATGTGCTGCTGACAGAATCTACATAGCGCTTTCTCTAAAAATCCGCCCAAATTATTGACCAAAATTAATGACAGCTTTTTACTTTCTTTGCAGACAGGACATGAAACCATTTGGAGTGAATGTTTCTTGCATTGAGCCAGGGCTGTTTAAAACAGGGCTTTCTGACAGAGACATGGTCATGAGACAAAAAATGGCTGTTTGGGACACTCTTCCTCAAACTATACAAAAGCAGTATGGTGAAAAATACTTAAAGGAAGGTAAGCCATGAGTTGCTTTGTTTTGTATTAATGGAGAAAGGGCCTAAACATAATACTGAAGTAGTCAGAAGTAGAGATGCCATCAAAGTTCACCCAAGCCTGGTTGAGAAATTAACTTCCAGGTTACTCAAAAAGGCACCTCAAAAAATAGGAGAACTCTGTGACTGAGTCAATATATGTCATGATTTTGTTTTAATATAGTGAATATGTCTCACTGAAAAAAAATGAGAATAATAATTTTAAAAAGAGATCTTCTGTGGCTCGGATCAATATCTAGGGCAGAGAAGAGTTCCTAGCATTCAACCTGCTCTCATCTCCACCAGCCCATGGTCAAAGCACACTCCTAATCCTTCGCTTCATTTACCAGAGGTGAATGCAGTAGTGGCAACATGTGGTAGAAAGGAGGGAAGCTTTATTGCTTCCTTCCCTCAGCTTCATGCTCATGACTGAAGAGTGGCAGGCCTTGGAATCGTCCCAAGGATTACCCACAATGCCAAAGACTTCCATGTCCTGCCTGCAGCACAGCTGGATAATGGAAGGGAACGAAAGGAGATAGGAAGCCTTTTTATTTAACTGCAAGTAACAATATGGCAATGCTCTTTGCACAGTGCAAAACTAGCTCCACGTCAACAGTACTTCAAATAATTAAGAAAGAAGTGCACAGAATTAAGACTCTTGAAGCTTATTGCTGCATATATTTTACCTCCCTCTCCTGGTTTCATTCTCTCTGCAGATGCAGTAAAGAAGGAGAAACTAGTGAAGCTGTGTCAGAATACAGACCTCTCATTGGTTGTGAATTGCATGGAACATGCCTTAATGAGCAAATATCCAAAGGCCCGGTACAGTGCAGGCATGGATGCTAAGATTCTTTGGCTACCACTTTCAAAAATGCCATCGTTTGTTCAGGACTTTGTACTCATGAAGAACAAAGTTCAGCTACTTGACCCAAAAGCTGTGTAAAATTGCATCCGAAAAAACTCCAGTTCGTGCTTTTTCAAGCTGTGCATACCAAACAATGCAGATGAATACATCTGTGTTCACAGGTGATCAAGCATCCAGAGATGTTGGCAATAATTGCTTCTCTTTTCTTGTTTACCCCTTATGACAAAGCAGTTGTCATAAGGACTGCTTTGCCCAGTGGTAGTGAAGGCAGATCTAGATGACTCAGGCTTAGCATTTGCCAACTCAAATAAATCTTAGTGAATCGACCAGTCAAATATTGTTCGAGTAATAGTTTGAAATTATCAGTTTGTCAGAACGTTGTCAAAGTACACAGATAATTATGCCCGTTGCAAATACTACAACCTGTTAACAGAGCTCAGTTCCTCCTAAGAGCTCTACCCAACACCATGGAGGTATCTCTTTCTCCTCCCACAGAAAATACTATTGACTTCCCAGGAACTTACGAGTTATCCCATTTTTCCTTAACAAACATTTTCTAGTGCTAAATGCCTCTGAGCATATTTCGGCTCTCTTTTCTTCCCAAAGGCAATAGATCTTTTGGGGGGATAGCTTCCAAGGGCCCCTGAGCATGTATAGAACATTTTTCCTTTCTGAAGAATATGTTACCTCACGTATCTGAAGACTGGAAGCGCATATCCTATGCCCCACCCCCAGGCTGTTTGGCTAGGGTGGTCTATGGGGAAGCTAGTATATGTGTGCCAACTCCTTCCTGAATGAGTGGCTGGGCTGGCCGGCCCATGAGGCAAGCTGAGACTCCCAAATCAGTGGCCAAATGTCCTGGGCCGGCCCTAGTGAGCAATGAGTGATCCTGACTCTTGCAAAGCTGGTGAGTGAGGCATCCTTACTTCTCCCACCGCTACGCCATGGTTTGGGGGGGGGGGAAGGTAGGTTGCCACTTCCAGAAGGGAGCTCATGACATATTTGGCTATGGCTGGATGGTGTCAACTGACACAATGCAACTGGTCACAACCCCATGTTATGTGTGCTGGCTGAAAATGTGTTGTGTGACAGAATGCTGGTGTGAAACAGCTACTTGCTGTTTGAACTGTGGCACCACAGTCATCTGCCATAGCCAGATAAATCAGAATGCATTGCCCACCAAAAGAAAGAGAGAAAGAGCACTTGCTAAATACCACCTTCTAGTTAGCATCTTCTACCTTGTAGATAGGGACGTGGGTGACGCTGTGGGTTAAACCACAGAGCCTAGGAATTGCCGATCAGAAGGTCGGCGGTTCGAATCCCCGCGATGGGGTGAGCTCCCGTTGCTCGGTCCCTGCTCCTGCCAACTTAGCAGTTCGAAAACACGTCAAAGTGCAAGTAGATAAATAGGTACCGCTCCAGCGGGAAGGTAAACGGCATTTCCGTGCGCTGCTCTGGTTTGCCAGAAGCGGCTTAGTCATGCTGGCCTCATGACCTGGAAGCTGTACGCCGGCTCCCTCGGCCAATAAAGCGAGATGAACGCTGCAACCCCAGAGTCAGCCACGACTGGACCTAATGGTCAGGGTCCCTTTACCTTTACCTTTACCTTGTAGATGGTACATCCAAGGGTTTATAAGTGTTGAGCAGTAGGAGACATAAAGATTCTGCTGCATGGTAAGCAGTCAGGCACATATTTTCAGTTGTCTTCAACTTTCCAATGGGGGAAAAAGAGGATCTTGGGGCTGAATTCCAATCTGCAAACCAGTTCTTTGTGTGGCTTATAAAATTTACCTGTGGGTGGTTTACCTTGCAGGGAGGGGGTTATTGTTTTTTTGGGGGGGTTGGTTGTTCTTGTTTCTATTATGCATTTTGTGTTTTGTCTTGTGTTTTTATATTGTGAACTGCTCTGAGGTCTCAGCAGTTCTCAAACCATGGGGCAGGTTTCTCTTCAAGTGGTGCAGGTCACCCTATTTATGGTGGTGTTGGTGCTAGATATTCCAGAGAAGGGCAGAGTCCTGAGACTGGTGAATCCTCCTCCTCCAGCTTTGATCCTAAATCTGGGTAAGTGGGTGGGCAGCTGGGTGGAGTGTAACTGTCAGGAGCTCGTCCGATGCTTGAGTAGGACCCTGGTAGAGTCACATGCCTGACTGGTATGTTTTCTCCCTCCCGGTCATTTTTTCGGGAGCTTCAAAAGCTTTCTTCTGCCGGAACATCACAGGACCGATGTCAACAGACATTGGCACACTTAGGGATCTGCAGAGTCTTCGCAGCTTGCGTAACCGACCTCAGCAACTCAGCATTCTGGCTAATCTACTTTATTTATATATAAACACACACGGAGCACTGCAACGTGGCTCCCTCTCTCTCTAGCATCAGACAGCAAAGAGAAAGGACAAAGGACAATAGTCCCATTTCACGGAATACAGTAACACAAACATCCTGTCTCTGTCACTTCCCACTTTGTGGAGTAAAAACATACACCGTCATGTGATAGACAACAATCCTATGACTGCAATCATGGAGCAGGAATTCTAATAGTAACTGCATCCTCACTGCAATTGCTTTGTAGTAATTATACTTTCGTGTGTGTGTGTGTGTGTGTGTGTGTGTGTGTGTGTGTATTTAGGAGGGGTGAGCAACATATCCTGTTGTATTCTTCTAAGGCCAGTAGTACCCCAGTCCACACATCTGTGATCACAACTGTAGAACACGAAAAGCTCTGTGTGTTCACATTTGAAACAGATTATTAGTGTTGCATTAGGAAGGCTTGCAAGGTAGAGTAAATTCAGAACGGCAATGTGAGTGGACAACTTTCAATTGTTTGAGAAAAGCTCCTCAAATAGCAGCCAGTATAAAAACATCTGTCCAGTCTAATTTTTAGAGTCTGTTAAAGCTAAAATAGCCATTTTAGTGCATCTCAGAGAATTATCATATGTATTGTATTACTGTTTTTTCCGTGCAGGAATCATTAATTTATTGTGTGTTACAAACTATACTGTCCTGTATTTCAATATTACATTATTTGTACATTGTAAATATTGGTAACGTTTTGTTAATATTTCTACCTCAGTTTGGGCATGGCAAAACCACTGAAGCTATGTTTTTCTTTTCCGTTTTGCACTTTCCATGCAATGGGCAATTGTGTTTGCTTGCTTCCTCTGTCATTCATGAAAGCCTTTCGTGGGTTTACATGCAAAAAGCTTGTGATTCTTAACTGTTCAGTGCTGTTTAAATAAACATACCTTTCTCCCTGAGGAATCATCCTATATATACTAATAGTGAAGTCTGTTCTATAAGTGCTTGTCCTTATATGGCCAAAACAATACCATCCCCACAGAAGAGGGGAGGTATCAGCACACTTGGTGTAACCCTTTTGCAAAAATAAATGGAGAGGATAATCCCAAAACAGGCCAATATAAATAGTGGTTTAATTTACTCTCTAAAATAAAGCCTTAAATTAGTCCATATGTTTCTATAACACTGATATGCAATGGTTTCTTGTGGAATAACAGAATTTCCAGTTAATATAAACTTCCTTTTGATCTATTTTGAGAATCAAGGCCAGCCAGTTGTCATGTCAAACAAGTCCTTGGGCTGATGGAACTACAAGTTCCAGGGTGTGTAATATAATCATGGGATGGGGCCCCATGAACTTACTTGCCACTGGTTGGTTTCATGACCTTTTAATGGTGACCTGAAAGCCTGATCACTTTCGGTTTAGCTCCAAAGTTGGAGATCTCATGCTTACCTTCAGGAAATCACATTATGTAGTACACAAAGTACTTAACGGTTCTTATTAGGCTACTTCATTAATTACTCTATTTGAGAAACAGAGATCTGTGGAAATAAAGAGCAAGATTTGGGGTGAATTCTCAAGGAATTCACCCAATTCACTTTCCATGTGTCTATGTTTAGATCCTATATAGCCTTATTATCAGGGGCAGCCCACCTATGAGGCAAGGTGAGGAGACTGCCTCAGGCAGCAGGATCCGCAGGGGCATCAGTTTCCAATGTAGATCTTTATTCCCCCCTTGTTCCTGATGTAGATCTTCACTCACTCCTTCTTCCCTGGCAAGGAGGGATTCCATTTTGTGTTTTGCCTCAGGTGCCAATATGCCCTGGGCCAGTCCTACTTATTATTATTACCTTTGCTGGAAATCATTTTAAGCATCTGATAATAGGCTTCAGAGGGGACGCGGGTGGCGCTGTGGGTAAAAGCCTCAGCGCCTAGGGCTTGCCGATCGAAAGGTCGGCGGTTCGAATCCCCGCGGTGGGGTGCGCTCCCGTCGCTCGGTCCCAGCGCCTGCCAACCTAGCAGTTCGAAAGCACCCCCGGGTGCAAGTAGATAAATAGGGACCGCTTTCTAGCGGGAAGGTAAACGGCGTTTCCGTGTGCTGCGCTGGCTCGCCAGATGCAGCTTTGTCACGCTGGCCACGTGACCTGGAAGTGTCTCCGGACAGCGCTGGCCCCCGGCCTCTTGAGTGAGATGGGTGCACAACCCTAGAGTCTGGCAAGACTGGCCCGTACGGGCAGGGGTACCTTTACCTTTACCTTAATAGGCTTCAGAATAATAGTGTCTTTCAAGCAAACCTAAGGTTTAGCTCCATTGCTCAGGCTGGTGAAAATAAAGCAAGTGTCCTTTTTCACAGTTAATAAGTAACTTACAAGCCTCCCATTTGCAATGTGTTATGCTGCCCACAGCGTAAAGAACTCTAGTCCATCTGTCTGCCTTTGGTGGTGTTGTGGGTTGTATAAGGCAAGACAAACAGTCTTTAAAAAGCAGCTAGAGATTAATGACCAAACACACATTTCCTCTCTTTTGAAAAACTCCAGTCAGTAACTAGTGATCCTGTTGTGTAATAACATTAGCCTGTTATCTCCCCATGGGCAAATCACCACTAAGCTCTGCTATTCTGACAACACTGAAAACTTGTTGAAGAACATACAAAGGAAACTACCTGATTTCAGACATCCCTCCTCACATATAATAATAATAATAAATTTATTATACCCCACCCATCTGGCTGGGTTGCCCCAGTCACTCTGGGCAGCTCACAATACATATAAAAACATAATAAAATGTCAAACATTAAAAACTTCCTGATACAGGGCTGCCTTCAGATGTCTTCTGAAAGTTGTATAGTTGTTTGTCTCCTTGACATCTGATGGGAGAGCATTCCACAGAGTGGGCGCCACTACTGAGAAGGCCCTGTGTCTAGTTCCCTGTAACTTCTCTTCTCGTAGTGAGGGAACTGCCAGAAGGCCCTCAAAGCTGGACTGCAGTGTTCAGGCTGAAGGACAGGGGTGGAGACACTCCTTCAGGTTTTATGTTCTATCAGTTCTGATAGTAACAACCCCTTGTTTGATAGGACAGGAGAACTGCCCAGACCTCACACTGCCCTGGATGGAAGTTATTTGCATGTATCTGTGCATTGAATCTGGCACTCTCTTGAATTAAGGAAGTTTCCTAAAAAAAATTATGCTCAGAAATTTAAACCCCAGGATCGCCGTCCTATGCATGTCTACTGGGAAGTAACTTCACTGAATTCAATGGGATTTTCTTTCAGGTATATGTGTGCATAACACAGATTAGCAACCTGTTATAAGGGGTCACATGTGACTTGAGCTTCACTTTACATGGCACCCTCCCCCCGCCGTCAGCACCTTCCAAAGCTACCCACCCAATTCTTCCATCCCATCAGTCCCCCCCCCCGCCCTGTTCATTTTTCTTCTTATTTTTCATTGATATATATATATGCATTCTTGGAGAAGACTTATTATCTGGAGCTATTCCAATCAGTTTCAGAACTGAATCAATCTTGGTCTCTATCAGACAGAGACAAAGAGACAGGGGAAATGAGACCTTGTAGCTGCTGCATCTTGGGCTTTTGGTGGCTTTGGACACCATCAATCATGCCATCATTTCTGAGTCAGTACAATGGGGTGGATATTGGGGGCACTGTTTTAAGGTGGTTCTGGTCCTACCTAGAGTATCATGTCCAGAGAATAGCACTGAGGGAGAGCTCCCTGGCCCCCTGGTATTTGCAGTATGAGGTGCCACTGAGTACCAAACTCTCCCCAAATTCTCAGTGCTGCTGCACTCAGGCCCTGCTAGTGGCCTTCCAATAAGCAAGTGGTTGGTGTTATGTACTGAAGTTCTCACCCTGGGCCAGCAGGGGGATACTGTAGATAGTTATGCAAATGAAGGATCAAAAGTTCAGTGATTGGATAGTTTTAGAAAGTTGCTACAGTAACGTTGTACTGGAGCTCTATATAAGCAGGCTGACTGAGC